CCTCCTACCCCTCAGGGGGGTCTGTGGGAAGGGGCCCAGCCCCGAGGGGGGACCCCAGGGTTGTGCCTCTGCAGGGTCTTTTCCTCCCATTTCTGTGCCTCGCCCTGAGAGCAGCTCTGCCTGAAAAAAAACCACCTTCGCGGGGAAAAAAAAAAAAACACCTTAAAAAAATATAAATATAATTTTAAACAACCCCGAGCCCAAGAACCGAGGAAAGCGGGTGTCAAGTAGCATCTTAGTTGTGCTGGGAGCACAGCAATTACGCAATAATCGCCGACAAGTCGATGCCTCTCCCTGAAGATCTGAGCCTTTCCCAGCCCCGCCGCCAAACTTCAGCGATTATTCTAATTATAGGTCCCGCTGAGCACTTTTAAGGACATCTGACTGTTGTCTGACAGCTCGTGGCTTGCAGTTCGCTGGTGCTTATACCATCTGCTCCAGCAGTAAAAGGAGACACAAAACGTTCCTACATGATTGCATCTTTTTTCCTAAGGTGTTTTGCATCCCTAATGGTTCTCTCCAGCATTAATAACTTTAGCAGCTTTAGACTAAAAGTTTCAGGGAAATGGGATGTGATGACCACAGAGCTGGCTGGGACTGTGTCATGTCACACCATGATTTTTAACCTGTCACACCATGATTTCTAACCCTAAACCCTGCCATGCTTTTCCAGGGCAGAGCACAACAAGGAATTCTCTTCAGGGAGGGATAACTGGAAGATCCAGTATGTAATGGTGCACACAAAAAGATGGGCTTTAAAAGATGATCCTTAATTTCTGGGCTGACCTGGCATGTCCTGTCTTGGGGTAGAGCAGAATTTAGGGCTTTCATGCTCATGGGGTTAAGAAATGACCTAAACCTACAGCCATCTAAGACTTCCACTCTGCACAGAAGTTAGAAATTGTCTCATTTCCTTAAAAGAAGGAGACTTGAGAACAAAAACTGAACTTCAATTAGAAGTTAGCTTCTACTTTTCAGACACTGCTGCCAAAAAAAGTCTGTGCAGCCTCTGCTTGCTCTCTTCTCTGGATCTGTGAAGATCTTTTAGCTCAAGCCTTTCTTGCTGAAGCCTCCAGAGCTCTGGTCTAGTGGGGCTTTGATCTCTTGAGAACAGGAACTTCTACTCCAAAACCAAACAGTTGACTTGTTCCTGTGCTGTGCATGACCAGATGAAATGTTCAAGTGGAAATAAAGCTGTTCCTTTATGACTCCTCAGTGATTCATGGTTTCCTCTAAATTGTTCCTCTGGTCTACTGGCATTTTCTTATTTCTTACAGCTCCAAAGCTGGGGAGCAGCAGTAGGTTCACTGGTGCTTTGTTCAGTTGGCTGCAGATTAGTTTAGAGTCTTGCAGAGTAAAAGATTGGGCATTAGGTGGGAAAAGAGAGTTGCAGGGAAAGTTAAATAGGGATCAGTGAAGCAAGAAGCTTCTCAGTTCTCAAGGAATTTCCACCTTTTGCCTTCTTGACCAGGCTGTGTAGAGAGGTTGGGAACACATGGGATTTTCTGTCTTGGCAGGGTCATGTCTGGTGCTGCCTTCATCAGTCTGTGGGTATCTGCAGCTTAGACAGTGTTTCACAGCTTGCATGCTGCTGAAGGTGGCATCAGTAATCTCAAGATGAAGTTCTAATTCAGAGAAGTTAGTATCACTAAGAGTCAAACTTACCAAAAATACCCTTTCTCTGTACAGGCTGGAGGCAAAGCCCCAACTTGCCTTTCTCTAACAAAACCAGTACTGAAACAGTTAAAATTATCTAAATTGAGTCTCAACCCAGGGGCAGCAGAGCTGCTTTCCAGGAGTGCAGGGTGGGGAGGAAATCCACTTTTCCTCCCCCCCCGATTTGGCCGTTTTTCACACCAATTCAAGCTCTTATCAGAAGCTGATGTGTTCAGTGACTCCCTCTCCCGCCTAGATGAGCTGGAGGCAGGAGCAGTTTTTGAAAGAGCAACTCAGAGCCCAGAGCATCAGCAGCACCAGAGCTCCTGGGGAGGCTTCAGCCAGAGCTGCTCCACGACAGGGATTCACAGGCTTTTCCTGGTAGGAACAAAGGGACTGGGAACACGGAGTAATCCTCTTTAGAGAGGTTCAAGGTTGGGAAGTTTGTCTGCAGCGAGGACAAAGTACAGCTCAGCTTGGGGAGCATAAAACTGGGGGCAGTTTGTGGTGCTGTGTGCTGGGCAGGTAGGAGCCCGAGTTCAAATTTAAGGCACTGATGGCTTGGAAGTGGTTTTAGTTGTTTGAAGTCAATTATTGTGAGTAACTACCTAGATCTGATCACTATCAATGTCATTTACCAAACTTGAATGTTTCATGTGCTTTAATCGGGCTTTTAAAAATATTTAGAGCTGTGCTTGATCTGTGGGAATTGTTTTATTTATGCTTTTGCCTAACTTGAGAGAAATTTAATGCTGTAAGAACCATCAGGAGCCTCTAAAAGAAAGTTTAAGTCCCTCTTAATAGATGGGGCAGGGGAGGGATAGGGTTTGAATTGTTACCAGTAACTTGAACTGATGCTAAAGCTCAGATTTTTGTCATTACTGAGGATTCTGCACTGCCTGTTAGGTAGATTTTCAGCCTGTTTTGTTTACCTCTAAGATGGTTGGTTACATTCCTCAGGCACAAGTCTGATTATTTTGCTAATATTCACTTTTTAATGTACCTAATCATACTGGCTCACATTCTTTATCACTGATGTAATAAATTAATCTACTATAGCTGGAAACTTCCATGACAGACAACTAAGATATTGCTCTGAAAGGTTTTGGCTTCCCATTTTCAAATCTAAACTCCTGCATGGCTTGAGAGTTGACACTTCTTCCAGGTTTAATACAGGAGAATATTTTCCCAGGGTTTCATCTGTGCAGACAAATCCAGGAGCCAGCCTTTCCTTTTCAAATTTATCTCATCCTCTACTCTGAACTTCCCCAAAGTGGCAGTGCCAGGGCTTGTTTCAGCACAAGTACAACCAGATTTTATTGTAATTAGGTCCAGGGACACAGCAATTTTACAGGTAAATTGGTTTAAGCTTTAGTGCTGAGACTAAGAGGTCAAGATTTAAACTCTCCATCACAATCAAGTTGTTGTTTTTTCAGTGGCTGGTTAATTTACACCCTCTTATAATACAAACTTTACAAACCTGTTGTGTGGGGTGGGTGAAACTGGACTGTTCTGTGAACATGAGATCTGTGCCCTGGGTGGGTGCTGAAACTGATGGGCTTTGACAAACTCAAATAGCTGCAGGACTTCCCCTTTTGTTCCTTTCCAGGAAAGGATCATTTCACCTGCACACCCAGAAATGCTCTTAAAACTGTTAATTTAAAGCCTGCATTGAGTCGTTTGGGATAAAGGGCTGCAGCAGCTTTAGCTGGTCTTGGAAAAAGCAGGTGGGGGATGTGTTAATCGTTGCCATCCACCCTGGCTTCTCCTCCTTTTGGGCAATCAAGGGATTGATTCTGCCTTGTGGAGATTTCCATTGTGGTTGGTGGTGACTCATCTTCCCCCCCTCTGACTCAAGCATTTCACCACGATAAGAATTTGCCAGTGGCACGATGGAGATGGCAGGTCCCAAAGTCCCTCACCCTGATGTGCCAACCCCTGGAGATGAGGCATCCTAGGGATGTCACAGCATCTTGGGGGCCCCAGCAGATCTGGCCCAGTTGTTCCCAGTTTTTCTCACAGGGCTGTGTGTCACAGCTGGGGCAGGACAAAGCAGATCAGTTTGGCTGGAGCAGCTGAGGGGCACAGAACCATCAGCCCTGCATGCATATCTTCAAGGGCTGCTTTTTGATGCTAATCTTAAAACACTGGTTTCTTGAAGCTTCTAGGAAGTGGAAGTGGTTAAACTCAAAGACAGGTTTCTCATCTTAACTGGTTCCTGACCCTTCTCATTTCCAGGTTTGTGCTGGGAACAGCTGATCACTGCCACAATGACATCCCCAAGCTCTGCCCAGCATCCAGCAGCTGAGAATGCCTCCAGAATCACACTGGGACAAGTTAACCAGGTAGTTCTTTCTCACACTTCTCCTCACTGAAGCAGTGATTCCTTTCACCAAATCAAAGCTCTCCAGGCACATTTTAGTAAGGAGAATTGAGTGGGGCCTTTATCCTGAGGAGCTGTGGCAGCTCCCACTGTTAGATCAATGATTTATGAACATTTTAAGGGGAAAAAAAGGAATCAAAACTGGCCATACAAGGAATTGTATAATACATACTGGACATCCCCATGTCCCTTTTGGAGTCAACTAAGTATTGAACATGAAGTATTCCCAGTATCAGCTGTTCCTGGAGTGTCCCTGGAACAAGGAGTTGCAGCTGCAGGCCAAGGTCAGTGTGGTTGGAGAGCACATTGACAGCCAGATAAGAGAAGTTTGCAAACAGTAACAGGAGAAATCAGGTCTAAAAATCAGGAAGGTTTCTCTAAGATAGGTGTCCATTCTTCCAGAGCTGCTTCATTGGAAAAAAACATCTCCACAACATGAGGGGATGTGGCAGGAGTGGAAATAAGCTGATGGGAGGTTGAGAGATCCTCCCATTTGAGGCTTAATTGAGAAAGCTTGAAATGGAGCCAAGCCCTGAGCAGAGCTGACGTGTGTGCTTATTTGTTCAGCTCACTCTGCGTGAAAAAATAAGTAAATAGGCTCTGATATTAGTAGCAAAATATTGATTGTCAACACTGTGTCCTTGGCAGTGTGGAATAAACACTTCCAGTGTGGCTGCTGAGTAGCTGAGGGCCCATTTGAAAATGATCAAGCTAACTATGTTGTTGCTTTAATCAGAAAGAGATGTGTGAGGAGTTACTGCAAAATCCACTTGAGAGTGGTCATTACAGAAATGAATGAACACAAACACATAATTTCATCTTATTAAAAACCATGTGCTGATACAAGCACTTCTTTCAGTTGTGCTGATTTCTTTTTTCATGGAATGGTTTGGGTAGAAAGAGACCTTGAAGATAATCTAGTTCCAACCCTTCATGGGCAGGGACACCTCCCACCAGCCCAGGCTGCTCCAAGCCCCATCCAACCTGCCCTTCAACACTGCCAGGGATGGGGCAGCAACAGCTTCTCTGGGCAACCTGTTCCAGCACCCTCACACTACAGAATTTCTTCCTAATGTCTCACCTAAATCTCCCTCTTCCACTTTTAATCCATTACCATTTTTTAATTCTTTTTTTTTCCTAGGGAAAAATAAGCTGTTCTTGAGAAAGAGACTTGGGGCTGGACATAAGCTGTTCTGTTTGAGCTTCAAAATGCATTTAACCAACTATCCTGAGTAAACAGGCAGACCAGGCACAGTCACAAAGGAGATTAATTTTCTACAACATTAGAGAACAGTGGAATAAGCACCTTGAATAAGCTGATGGGAGGTTGAGAGATCCTCCCATTTGAGGCTTAATTGAGAAAGCTTGAAATGGAGCCAAGCCCTGAGCAGAGCTGACGTGTGTGCTTATTTGTTCAGCTCACTCTGCGTGAAAAAATAAGTAAATAGGCTCTGATATTAGTAGCAAAATATTGATTGTCAACACTGTGTCCTTGGCAGTGTGGAATAAACACTTCCAGTGTGGCTGGTGAGGAGCTGAGGGCCCATTTGAAAATGATCAAGCTAACTATGTTGTTGCTTTAATCAGAAAGAGATGTGTGAGGAGTTACTGCAAAATCCACTTGAGAGTGGTCATTACAGAAATGAATGAACACAAACACATAATTTCATCTTATTAAAAACCATGTGCTGATACAAGCACTTCTTTCAGTTGTGCTGATTTCTTTTTTCATGGAATGGTTTGGGTAGAAAGAGACCTTGAAGATAATCTAGTTCCAACCCTTTATGGGCAGGGACACCTCCCACCAGCCCAGGCTGCTCCAAGCCCCATCCAACCTGCCCTTCAACACTGCCAGGGATGGGGCAGCAACAGCTTCTCTGGGCAACCTGTTCCAGCACCTTCACACTACAGAATTTCTTCCTAATGTCTCACCTAAATCTCCCTCTTCCACTTTTAATCCATTACCATTTTTTAATTCTTTTTTTTTCCTAGGGAAAAATAAGCTGTTCTTGAGAAAGAGACTTGGGGCTGGACATAAGCTGTTCTGTTTGAGCTTCAAAATGCATTTAACCAACTATCCTGAGTAAACAGGCAGACCAGGCACAGTCACAAAGGAGATTAATTTTCTACAACATTAGAGAACAGTGGAATAAGCACCTTGCCAAGAGACTAGGTAATAGCTGAGTTAAAAATTACCCTGGGGACAAGCAACCAAAACCTGCTCTCCTTACCTTGTGCAGGAAAAATGGTGCTGCAGCTCTTGAGATGTTCCAAGCAGGCTCTGCTCCTGGGGAAGAGAAGTGGGAGTTGCAATTGGATTTATATAGGCAGAAAAGAGGGGGTGGAGGTGAGAAGCAGGTGAACCTCCTGATACACTGACAGGTGGAGACCCTTAAGAGCTAGCAGAGATGAATGCCTGGAGAGTACAGGTCCAAGTGTAAAGGAATCAGTAAAGGACATGGTGTGCTGAGGACTGGGCTGTCTCTCCTCTGGGAGATTGAAATATCTTGATTTATTAGCACCTGAGAAACAAGGGGAACAGAGGGACAGATTAACTGTGGGAAAAGTGTGTTAGTGTTCAACATGGGACAGAATTGTGCAGCATTCAGAGAGCAGTGAGGGCTTTCTGGCATTGTTAGGGAATACAAAGCATCAGGTCCCAGGGGGGGAACTCTCCTAGGAATTGTTAGGATTCTTGTGGAGTAGAGGAGGAAGCAGTGGAGGAGGAAGCAGCTATTTAAAACTCACTGCTGTTTTATATAGCATCATCTGGCTCATCTGCTACTCAAAGCTGCTTGGTTGTGTGGGGGAAACCCAAGGCAGTTGCATTGTTCCCAAGGTGCTTTATATTTTATATAGTAAAGATTTTGGTTGATGACTGAGATCCACAGAAAACACAAGTTCTGAGCCCTAGTGTTAGTTAATCACACCTTGAGTTTCATGCAGTCTTATGGTCATGTCCCTGTTCCCAGATCCTAAGAAATACACACTCCCCAGGGTCTGTAAGAGCAGACCTGATTTGGTCACTGCACTAACTGGGAAAATCCAGGCCTGCTGCCCTGGAGGCAGCAATCTGAGTGCACAGAACTGCTCATGACTCAGTCCTTTTGGTTAGTCACTGCCTGGGACTCCATACCAAGGGTCTGAGTTTCCAGCCTTCCCTCACAGGATGAATCCCATCAGAGTTGATGGGACAGTGGGAGTAATTCAAGCCTTTAGAGCTGCCTGCCCAAATTTCTGTATCTTGCACTTGAGTCAGAATGACTGTGCTGATTTTTAGGCTTTCTAACTTCTTTTCAAGTGGTTGTCCATGCAGGTTATTCCTAAAAGAGAAGAGCAGCCTGGAGCAGGTTAGCCTGAAGCAATCAGTGTTCCCCAACCACTTCCAACTCTTCCCAGGGGTGTCAGCTCTGGCCTTGGTGTGTGTCTTCCCCAGGGTGACTTGGGCAGCTCTGGTTTCTTAGCAGGGACACACAGCCTGATGGGCTTTCTCTCAGCAGGGAACTGCTCCAAACTCAAACTCTCTGCTTTCTCTTGTAGTTGCGACCCAAACTGTCCCTGCTGAAGATCCTGCAGGCTGCAGGTGCCCAAGGTGAAACCTTCACCCTGAAGGAGGTGAGCTCACTTTCCAGGCACTGTTGCCTGGTCCAGGTTGTTTGGGAAATGGCTCTGAGGGACAAAGGGACTGGCTAGTTATTTATCTGTACTTTGAAGCCCTGTCTGCAATTTAGAACCCCCAGGGCTGTTGGGATTTATCTTGGGAGCCCCCAGAGGAACTGGAATAGGACAAAAAGAACAATATTGATCCTGGAAAATCAACAACCTCTTTAAAGAAAGGAAAAATGGGATATCCACAGTCCTGGGAGACTGCAGGAGATTCTGTTCAATTGTCTTGCTCTCTGCTCAGTGCAGGAAAGCTTTAAACCTGAATACCAGCTCATATTTTTAACTTTCCTTGGAAATGGCTTGTCAGCTAAACCTAAGAGACCCTGTGAATTCATCTTCTTTAAGATTAAAATGCAGCATGTGTACAAAATTTAAGAAAAATGACACTGACTGTGAATTACAAGAGTATCCTGTCTGCAAAGAATTAAATGCAGTGGTTTTTTCATTATGAATGTGTCAAATATTCCTGCAGAGCCCTGTGACTTATTTTGAACACTTATGCATTTAAATAACTTATTTAGCTTCTAAAAATCTTTGCAAAAAACAAATGGAACGGTTTAAATGGGGGGAGCTGAGTATTAAATGCAGGTTACTTGTAGAGATTAACATTTTAACTCAGTTAAGTCAGGTTTTTCTGCAATGAGTGGAGTACTGTTAGCAACTTCTTGGTTCACTGTCATTCAGGAGGGTCATTTTGGTGGGTCATGGGGGCTGGAGCCTGTCTGTGTTGTTCTCTACCCACTTTGCTTTCTCCTCTTCCACTCTGGATCCCTCCTGGTGTCTGTCAGCTCTCAGGGGATGTTTCCTCCACCCTTCTCTGTGATATTAATGCACTTACTTTTGCATCTTGCAGACTGTCTCCTGAGGGACAGCAGTGTAAGTTGTGGTCACTCTTTATTAAGACCTTATTCTTTCACCTGGGGAAACCTTCTGCCTCCTCCCACCTGTTTCCATCTCTTACTCTGAGTTGAGCAGCAGCAGCAGCAACCTCCATCTGCAGCTCTGGGGTTTCCTTTCCATGTGGGGTAGCAGAGTGACTTCTGTTTATCCCTCTTGCACTCCATTTTCCTTCATGTGAGGGGTTGTTACAAACCTTAGAGCAATATGGTAAAGCATAGACTCCCTTAGGTGGGAGGCACCAAGGAATTGCAGGTGTGCACAAAAAGCAGGTACCATTTGACTCACACTCTGTAGGGCAGCAGGAGACAAGTCCCATACAGCAAATTTCCAGGGTTTAGGGTGGTTTGGTCTCAGCTGCAGGTGTGGCTGATGGCATGTGGTGTGTCTACAGGTCATGCATTACCTGGGACAGTACATAATGGTGAAGCAGCTGTATGACAAAAGAGAGCAACACATGGTCTACTGTGGAGGAGATGAGCTGGGAGAGCTGCTGGGACTGGAGAGCTTCTCTGTTAAAGACCCAAGGTAGGAAAAAGGGACCTTTAATGTGTGTTGTGTTGTAGAGGTGGCTGAGACAGGAGGCTCTGGGTGTCACCCCTAATGTTCACTGTGGCATAAACCTGCTTGAATACCAAGTGCCCTGCTCAGTGAAAATGCATCTGAGAAGCTTGAGTTTAGCTCCTTTGTTTTGAAGAGCCAGTTCTGAATTGCCCAGGCAGTGAGCTGCTTTGGTGACATCCTTTCCCCCTTTTATTTCAGCATTTTTGGCCCTTGATCTCAGACTGAAGCTACAATCTGCATCCTTCAGTTCAGTTCTGAGCTAGACTTAGAATCATAGAATATGCTGAGTTGGAAGGGACCCATCAGGATCATCAAGTCCAACTCCTGTCCCTGTGTAGGGCACCCTAAGAATCACACCATGTGCCTGAGAGCACCTTCCAAATGTTTCTTGAACTCAGACAGGCTTGGTGCTGTGACCACTGCCCTGGGGAGCTTGTTCCAGTGCTCAACCACCCTCTCCTGATATCCAACCTCAGCCTCCCCTGGTTCAGCTTCCTGCCATTTCCCCAAGTCCTGTCATTGGTCACAGGAGTGAGGAGATCAGGACCTGCCCCATCTCTTCCCCTCCTGAGGAAGCCATGAGACTCCCAAGTCTCATTTAGAAGTGGCAGAAAAATCCCTGCACTTTCCAGCAGGATAATAAAAGAGAATTTCTGTCGTTGGTGTACAAGGGTAGAGCTTGGTTCTGTGAGGATATTAAGTGTCACCTTCTTCCCCACAGCCCAGTCTATGACATGTTGAAAAGGAACCTGACTTCTGCTGCAATGGCAGGTAGGTTTGTCACAGTATGGGCAAGAATATTCAATGTTATGTTGATGTAACCTGGGTAAGTAATGGTGATAAAGAGAAATGTTTCTGAAGTTGGAACAAACTGCTGATGAAGGCTTTAACCAGGAGTATGTGTCTTTTCTGTGTGTCCACCATCAGCAGCTGTGGTATGAAATAAGTTAGTTGTTTAATTAACCTGCCTGTAACCAATGACCAAACCTCAGAGCAGCAGACACTGTCTGGGAGGACACTGACAGAGCTCCATACTGTGGTTGTACCAAGTATCCCATCCAAATTGTTACTGATTTCTCAGGTTTTTTTCAGTTTCAAACTTGCTGCAACTTCTCTTTCTCATCTTCTTCTAGACTCTCATAGTCTTGAGACTGAATATGAGAGTGCTGGAAACCCAGGCTAGTTCTGCAAGCCAGAGAGGTCTGGACTTTAATGAAACACTTGAACCTTTAAAGGTCACTGTTACTTTCTCAGCTCGTAAGAGAAATCAAATCTATCTACATCAAAAGTCCCTCAGTCCTAAATTAAAATTAATTCTTAAATTCATCTCAGCTGATGGCTTCCTTGCAGCCAGTTCCCATCCTGCAGCTGGTAATCTTAATTTGAAAAAAAACAAAACCAAAACACTTCTGATGAAACCACAAGCATGCAAATCATGAGGGAGCTGCAGCAGGAGAGCTCTGCAGTCTGGTGTTGCACTTCTGGGGTCTCTGAACAGATAATATGGACTCATTTTTTTCATAAGGGCTTGGTCTATTTTTACACATCTACATAAAAGCTCCTGCAAATTTAGAAACTGAGAAAACGTGGCCTTAAACTGCTTAGTCCTCTGCTGTGAGCTGTGTATTGGTGCTTCTGAGGTCCCCCCTCCTTTATTGAGAGAGAAGAACCTTCCTAAGCAGACCTACCCCACAGGTGACCCCACAGTCCTGGTGTGAGTGCTGTTCCCCTCGCTGGGGATGCCCTGGTTCTCCCTGAGGCAGCGTGTGGAGAGCACAGGATCCCAGCAAAACTCTGTCTCATCTGCTGCCCTGTCCCCTGCTGCTGGGTGTGTGTGTGTGTGTGTGTGTGTGTGTGTGTGGTCCTGGCCTGGTGTCACTACCCTTAAACCTGCTAAAGGAAAGGCTGTTCCTGTCAGGAGATGAGCACTTGAGTTAGACCCCCATGTCTGTGTGTGTGTGTGACTGAAATGAGACAAGCTTGGCAGACCAGACCTGTGACAAACACACAGAGTGATGGCTTTGGGTCCTGTTTTGCCTTCATTGCAAGGTAGCAAGAACTAGAGGTGCTTAAAGAGGTCTTCATGTTTTGTAAGAGCTGCTGGTGTTCATTAGCCAAATCAGTGCTCATCAGCACAGCATTTTGCAGATGACCTTGGCCACTTATTTTAAGTACACTTGGAGAAAGAAAAATGACTGCAGAACATCTTGATAGTAAAGACTGAGCTCTTACCTAATGCCCTTCATCAGATGGTGTCCCTGCCTGGCTGGCTTTCACTCTGAATCACAGGAGGTGTGTTGAGGAATACCTCACTTGAAGGGCATTGTGTGTTCAGTTCCTAGTGTGTGTTGGCTGGGAAAAATAAAGCCTTCCAGTAAGTGGAGTGTCTTTTCACACAGTGTTTAAGGCTAATTGGAATTATTTACTGTTAGAAGGGGAAGGCTTCAACTCTTCTAAGAGCCAAAGCAGTTAGGGATGAGCCAAATGGTTTCCAGTTTCCTTCAGGTATTAAATAATCAGTGTCAGAAGCTGTAGGGTGATGGAAGAAAGGAAAGCTGAACTAAAGCAAAGCAGGTGGGATAGAGCCATGTCATTTTGTGGTCCTGTGTTATGGTCCATTTTATGGACCACTTTGTGGTCCACATTTCTGCCTATAGCAGCAGATTTCAGTGCCATGATGTCAGCCAGACTGTTCCTGGCTGCCTGGCATTCAGCAGGGAGTTTCTCTACTCAACTGAAAGGGAAGCAAGCAGGAGCCATCCTTGATTCTCTTTTAAGAGCGGACTTCCTAAGTGCAGCTCACCTATTATGCAGAAAGATTTCTAATTGCTTTTGTTGTTTAGTTTGACCTTTTAATTAACTCTTGGGGCCAGCATAATCACCTGGATTAAATTGTTATGGATGTCTACACAGTTACCCAGGAAAGAGCTTGCTGTGCATGGAATTTTCCCTTCTTTAGTTGTTGTTCTTCACCCCCACACCCTTTCAGAAAGACATTTTTCCTGTCTTACCAGAAGTTGAAAGAGATGGTGTCCTCAGGTATTTGTAAAGATCTTACTCTTCTCTGTTCACCTTCTTCAGCCCTCAGATCTGACCCAGCCTTGAAGTGAGGGTCCCCACGCTCTGCTGCTGCTCTGGGTGTCATCCTCCAAGCAGACCTCTTGTGTCAAGGACCTAGAGATGGTGATAGCAGGACAGCCTGTAGAAAAAGGAATAGTTTCTCACTTTAGGAAGGAGATTCTTACATGCTGTAAGGTTCCATCAAGCTTCATCTCCAAGGAGGCACAGACTCTGCATTCCATAGGCTAATGTCTCTATGTGTGCCTGCCTAGGGAATCCTGGAGTAATGCCTCACTAGGAAGTGGGATGGAATTGTGTTCAGTTGTGGTCCTTGCTCTACAAGAACCATGGGACAGGCTGGAGAGGGTCCAGGGAAGGGCCCCAAGGGTAATCAGAGGACTGGAGGACCTGCCATATGACAAGAGGCTGAGAAAACTGGGTTGCTTCTGGAGAGATTCTGATTGAACACAAGAGGTACATTTTTCCCCATGAGGACAGTCAACGTTGGAATAGTCTCCCAAGGGAAGTGGTGGATTCCCCCACATTGGGCAGTTTGAAGTCTCAGCTGGACAGGGTGCTGAGCCCCCTCACATCAACTAGAGCAGCACCTAGAGAGGTTGAAGCTCACATCAACTAGAGCAGCACCTAGAGAGGTGCTTGATGCTTGAGGTCCCTTCCAACCTGGCATTCTAGGATTCTGTAGTCCTATGCAAGGGCTCTTGTGTCTCCTGAAGGGTTACTTAGAGGTCTGCCAAGCCTGGCTCGTTGGTTGCTTGCTGAGAACCCTCTGTGTCGTGAGAATGGTTATTACCAGGGAAGGTTTTTTCTTTTGTTTTACCTGCCATCCAGATGCTGCAGAGAATCTCGCACAGGAACAGAGCGTCGATAAGCCCAGCCAAGACCAGCTGAAGGTAAACCCACTGCCTGGTGGTTTCTTTTGTTGTACAGAGTGCCCCTTCTCTGTACCTGTGCATGGTGGACTGCCAGAACTTTGTGCTGCTTGGCAACCAGGTCCTCACCTTCCTGAGAAAGTTCTTGGAGTCCACACAGCAGGGACAGAGTGACCCTTCTCTGTTCTCTTCATAACAGAGTGCCAGTCTCTGAGCGTGTTTCTCTGGGGTGTAGCACTTCTAGTCCTCAGTTCCTCCAGCCTGCTCTGTATTTTCCTGCCTTTCTCTCCCTTATCTCATCCCCTCTCTCAGTAGGAATTGCCAGATAATGATGCTTTTGAAAATGTGTGAAGAAGTTTTGTGTTTAATTAGGATTGTTTGCAGAAGCTTTCAGGCAGAATCTGAAACCTAGGAAAAATCTTCTGCACATTCCAACTTGTTTCCAGGTGTGTTTTGGGGGGGTTGGCTGATCTGGGGAGGTGTCTGTTCACCCTGAGGGCCAGAGCATCACAAAGAATAGAGTATTACTGCCTTCAAGATGGCAAGTTTTGGACTTTTGCTGATCTTTAAGATTTTTCCTAGGTTGCCAGAATGTTGTTTGTGCTGATTACAGATGCATTAGCTGCCTGTAAGAATGAATAGTGTGTAGTTTTTGTCCAGAAACTTTCATTTCTCTTCATAACTTCTTGGTCTTTGTACTGCAGCTGGTAACTGGGAATGGAAGTGCTACATCCCCTTGTCCCTATAAGCTCTGCTGGACTAACATCTGGTTTTTCCTTCATGCAGTTTAGCCAGCAAGAAGGTTCTGACACTGGCCTCATGGAGGGGGGAAGCAATGGTTCTGCTTTGTCTACGTCAGAGCAAAAATGTGAGAATGACCAAGGTGAGTCCCAGATTTTCTGCAGTCACACAAGGTGCACAAGCTCTTCTGCTCCTTCTCCAGTGGGCTCCATATGAGCAAAATGCTTTGGGAGACTAATAAAAACCTGTTGTGGGATATAATCTTTAAAAATCATCATTTTATGCTAAAGATTGAGAGAACTGCAGATGTTCACCAAAGGTATTAGATGATGGACCTGTTTTCTAGCTTAGATATTTGGTCTCATAAATAAACAAATGCTTTGAATAAAATGGCAGGTTAAGCCCCAAAAGCACATCTGTCATTAAACAATGCCATGAAAAAGATCTTACAGACCTTGCTGAAGGGTATTTTAAATGCTAAAACTATACTTGTATCTATTTATCTTCCCAAGGGAGTTTCTCCTGTGATTACACACAGCACAGCCTGAGCTGTCTGTAGTCATTACCTGCAAACCAATCAGAGAACTGAATAACAAGGGAATTATTTTTCTTTTCCTATCCAGCTTAAGTGTAATATAGCTCCTTCATATCTAGACATTTCCTTTGTTTTCATGTCTGGAGATTTCTTGCTGGTTCACTCACATGGATTGCTGATGTTACAGAAGCAATTTTCCTGGTTTTCTACTTTGTATTCTCATGTCATTCTAATATCAAGGAACTTGTAAAACCAAATATTTCCAAGTGTGGGTATTTCCAGATCAAACAAGAGCAGAAGGTATTTTCCTGGCTGTGTGTACAAAGGAGACAGAAACAGTCCTTGTCTGTGTCTTTGAAGCTCTTGGCACTGAACAGAGATTCAAGGTTATCTGGAAATTCAGGCTGCTCAGTTTAGGACCACAGACTAAACTGCACAGGCTAAAGAGGAGGCTGAAGTGTGGGATTGTGGAGGATGGATTCTTACCTTCCTGTTTCCTATTTTGAGCCTGGTTTTGGAGCTCCCATCACTGGGAATTGGAACCAAATTCAACCCAGTTTTCTGCACCTTAAGTCACTCAAGAAATCTCCTCAGTGTTGACTTGGGTAGAAGTCTGAGAGAAGCATTTGTGTCACTGCATTGTCCTGAAGGGGAGGCAAAGCTAAAGAGAGCCTGAACCACTACAGAGACACACTGGGAATACTGGGATGCTTCCCTGACCTCTGATGGCTGTGCAGTGACTGTTGTCAGGTTCACTTGAGGAAACATACAAGTACAGGTGTGCAGTGGATCTGACATCCCAGTACACTCGTACAGACCCCAAAACTCTTGGCAGTAACTGGCTGTATGGAGGAGCAAGAAAGATTTCTGAAATCAAATGGGGCCAAATTGTTCTCTGCTAGTCTCTTAAATGATGTAGGTGTGGCATGACTTAGATTCTACTTGGCTCTTACAGACAAAGACTTAATAGAAAACCTCACTAAAAGCAAGAAGCCTAAGCTGGACCTAGTGTTTGAGGAATGGGATGTAGCTGGTCTTCCATGGTGGTTTTTAGGCAACCTCAGAAGCAATTACAAGTCCAGAAGTAATGGATCAACAGATATTCAGACTAACCAGGTGTGTAGACATTTTAAATAGGTGCACTATATTCTCTTCCTCTCCTCTTTCGGGTTTCAGGTAAATAAAATGTTCTTTCTTTCCCCTTCCCACTCCAGGATTTTCAGCCTCTCCCTTGTGTGTTCCTGTCCCAGCCTTTCACATCAGGTGGTTGGTTCCTCTTAGTGTTCTTCAGTTAACTAGGCACTTTGAAGGCTGTGGTCAGCTCTTGGAGGTCCTTCTGCTCTTGAGCAGTGGTATTTCAGGAGTTGCCCCTCTTCTGGGTTGGGCAAAAAGGGGTGTTTTGTTGAGGATGGAGCTGCCCTTTTCTCTACCAGGCGTGACTGGAAAAGCTGCCCAGGGCTGAGAATCTTAGGAAAAGGGGAGGAGCAGTCACTGTGGCAATGGCTGTGGTGCTGATACTCCTGCTGCTGATCACCTGAGCTCTAAGTGGTCTCTTCTGTTTCTTCTCCAACAGGACATAGACACTGCTGTTGTTTCAGATACTACTGATGACTTGTGGTTCCTTAACGAGTGTCCAGCAGACCAGTGCAGTGCTGCAGCCAAGGGGGAAAGAGATGACTGTCAGGAGCTGAAAGAGGCTGACAAAAAGGTACCTCTTCAAACAGCCATGGTGCAGGTGTCCCACAGGTTGGCCTTGTGTGATCTCATGGTGCTGTGCTGATTCTGGAGGAGCTAGATCTGTAACCATCTCAGTTGATGCTGTGTGAGTGTTCAGTGCTAGACAGGCTGGCCTGAGTCTGCTCCCTGAGGGGGCAGTAGGATGATTGATCACAACAGTAATTAATCAAATGTGTGTTAAAAGGACTGAGTTCATTATTTCTTCCATGAACATAAGTAGAGCTGCTCAGGTGTGTTTGTAAGATTCTCATGTCCCTCAAAGAGGTGTGAATTGAGCAGAGGGACATTGCCAAGTGATAGTTACTGACAACAGCACAGATTGTCCAGAAAATGGCTTTTCATTCGGTTCCAGAAATAGCTTAATTATCATGGTGATTATATACTCAGTTTTGGTGTACAGTGCCAGGCATATCGTAAATACAGATTATTGCAGCCCTCTAATATCATTTCCACTCTTTC